CCTGGATTAAAAGCCTGGAAAATTGCCCTGTAAATGATTGTTTTAACACATTTTATTGTAAGAGCTTCGTGGAGTCACCAAAGTCACTTTATAAAAGCAGTAATGTTGTTGGGAAGATTTAAAAAAGACAGAAATTGTCCTTAATACAGTAGCATTTGGGCCATGGTTACCCTTACTCTTAGCAACAGTGGTTAAGGGCTAGTTTCCCAGAGCTGGAGCTGAGAACTGGCCTTGTCCTATTAGAAATGACTTCAGGTTATGCTTTTCGTGCAAACTAATTTGCTCTAAACAAGTTGGTGAAATCAACAGACCACTGCTGTCATGTGGGAAATTTAAATTCTGCAGGATATGAAGCACTGTAATTTATTTTATTTCAGTAGATAAATATTACTTTTTATTGTTTGCAGTACCCACAGTTTACACCTCTTAAAGAATTGACAGATTCTGACAGCACTGAAAATGTAACTAAATTAGGAACATATAAAAGGTTCCAAACCCGTCTACAGTAGCTATGATAGTAGGTAATTGATCCAAGAATCTCAAATTCAGTGATAGAGTGTAACAAAAGACAGAGGATACAGCGCAGTAGTAGAATGTGGAACAATTTCAGTATTCCTAATCATCATAAATGTTGTATACTGTATCATACTATATGTACATTATCATTCTGAAGTACAGTTGCTGCTGATACATATCTGGGATATATGGAACCAGTTTCATTTTCACTGTGGCACTTGTTTGATATACTGTACTCCAGTTACCAGACTTTTAAAGGACACTTGGATATTCATCTTCTCTGTGTTGTGTGATTTCTTTTAAAAAGATGACATATAACCTTCATTCATACATGTATATTCTGTAGTAAGCCTACAGTGTATATGTGTATGTTCAGTACATATAGTACTGTGATTTTGTAGAAGGACTTCTTAAGGATTACAGTTTTTGTACAAAAGTATTTACAATTTAAGAATTAAATTATTCTGAAAATAAATATTGATGTGTTAAGTACAGAAAAAAACTGAGAAGGCTGTATATTGTGTAGGTCGGTCAGATCGTGTGAGTGTGAGGTTCAGGGGGGTGAGTGTTGCTTGAGGTCTTCGGATTCTCTAGCTGGTTTCAGTCTGGCCAAAGTAAATGTTGCATCGGTGACACCGCTGAAGCTTAACTTCTCAAGCATGCCAGAGAGCCTTTTGCAGTTTTAGTTCAGCTGACAGTGAACCCTTCATGGAGCTGGAAGATATGCCATTTCAGTGTTTTCTGAAAGGATGCAGTAGCAAGAATCCTGCCCCCTTATGGCTGACATAGGTAATTTAACTCTTGTTTATTTTAGTGGCTATGGCAAGTATGTTAGACTGTGACAACTGTGCTCCTGTAATGCTGTCACTGTCTAATGGCAAATGGCAAGAGGCTGAAGATGTAACCCCAGAATAGTGAAGTGGCAGGTGCATTTGTACACTTGGGGATGGGTTTTACTTAAGTGGGAACAGTATACTACCCTGGAGACTCAGTTAAAAATATCATTGAGTCCCGGCACTTTGTTCAGAAAAGAGGGGGGACCTTGACTTTTCTTTGCTTAGGGTTTGGATTATCATCACTCCCACACAAATCTAAGCAGAATTCCACAGTGTTTCAACAACGCCCTGCGATTTGTCACTGGCTTTTTTTTTTTGCTTGTATTTGACTGAAAGGTCTTTAAATCTGATACACATGAATGACCGTTTCCACGAGCCCCCCCCCACCCATATCAGTAATCTCTCCCCCTCTCATTACTGGAAGAAGAGCTATGGCCACCAACATTTGCTCTCTTGTCAAAGGAAGGCTGCTGTGGCAGTGAAAAGGCCAGACCTAGGGATGTATTAGCTAGTCAGCCTAATAATCCCTGTACAGAGTGTATTGATTTTCCAGGGTAGAGTTTATGAACTAAATAAACTTGGAGTTGGTGTCTTAATAAACTGCCTCACCCTGTCTGTCACATTTAGTTACAGGGGACTTGGTTTCAAAAACAACAGGAAAAAAAAAGAATGAAAAGAAAGAAAAAAACGGGAGAAGGAGCTAATTCTGCTACAGATTGTTCACAGCAGGGATTCCAAATTAGCCCCCCTCCATCCTGTTTTTTCCCCTCTGTAATGCCACCTCTCTAGGACTCTCTTTGAGTGCATTCCTGAGTTTTACCCTAATGAGTTGCAACACTGATAATGTGGCTGATGATCTTTCATTGATTTCGCTATCACTTGCTTGTCTGGTAATTGATCCGTTGCTGAGCCTCTAGTTAATTATATCGGCTTTGACATGGCCCGGTCTAAAGGGAATTTCAAGTCTTGCAGAATAATAGTTTTAATAAAGGAGTCTATTACTGCAGGTCCTTGCTTTCTGTCTGCTGCTGCTGCTCCTGCTGCATGCCACTCTTCCCCCCTTGCTCTTTTTTATGGCACAGAAAAGAGGACTGTGGGACTGAATGAAAAAGATAGAGGGACCGAGAGAGAGAAGGAAGGAGAGAGGGAGAAAGAGAGAGAGAGAGGAGAGGGGGGGAGTTTGCTATTGGCAGTGTCCTCAAACCTCCCACAAATAACAGCCATTAATGGGAAGGTCAGAAGCGGAGCCGCCAGCTTGACTTGAAACACTGAGTGCCACTTGAAAAATCAAGAGACTAGCAAATTTTAGAGGCAGAGAGACAGACAGCAGGGAAAGCTGAAACAGGCTGGAGCTAGCTTGGAAAGCATGGCCACTATTGGCAAAATTGACTCCGCTTTGTCAGTTGAGCAAAGGAGGACGCTGCATTTCATGTAGTCACTGTTGTTTTGAAAATATATTAAAGGTTTTCCTTTTTTATTTTTGTCCTTTTTTTTTTTGCTTTTGCTTTTTTTTTCTCCTAAAGGGAGGAGAAAAGTTTAGCCAAGAAGGCTTTCAAGTGGGGAAACAGCAAGGAGAGGTACTTTCAGCTGAACTGTGTACATTTACCCATTATTTTTCATTTTGTACTAATGACATAGCCTTCATTGGATGGCTTTTTTGTTACTGCGGATGGACAGAGGAAACAAATCTGAGGCAGGGTGGTCGAGAGAGAGAGAGAGAGAGAGAGAGAGAGAGAGAGAGAGACAAAATGAAAGAGAGAAAAGAGGGAGATGTCCATTAGAAAGTCTTTAGTTCTAGGAAGTGGTACATTTTTTTCTTCTCCTTGAAAAATTCCACGATTGTATCACATAAATGCTGTTCTTATAATTTCTGCAAAGGTTAGTGGGAGCTGTCATTAGTGCCATACAGATGCTTTTAAGAGGCAGTAGCAGTTGTCTCCTACAATTTTCTATACCATTTGGAGTGACTTTGTATATCAGTAATCATTTAATGTATTTTAAAAATGTTAATTTCTCTTCTCTTCTGTACCCAGAACTGACTGTGGTGTTCCTCAAAAACCCTCTGATCGGTACACCTTTTGTAGCTGTCTGCATTTCTTTTTGCAAGACAAGAAAAAAGAGGGAAAAAAACATTATATTAACAATAATAAAAATTGATTCATGGCTTCAGGCACTTCATTTTAGTGCATTTGATATCATAAGAAAAGAGAATTTTCTATCTCATATTCTAAAACCTTTTGATGGATTTTTTTTTCATTGTTGTTTCTTTTATGGGAATAGCTGCTGAGGGGACCGATCTCACTGAAAATAAGACTGTCCCTCATTTTTTCTCTCTTAATTAAAATCTGAAACCATTCACATGGGGGTTTCCTTCAGTCGACGAAGCACAGTGTCCTGTTAAGTGACTGTTCAATGATTGCAAAAGGGCTGTTTCACTAGCATCATTAGATGATAGCTGCTTAGTCCTGAAGAGAAAAAAAAGACAAAGACACGTGTAAGACTTTGTAATGGTACTGCGGGTTAGAATGATGTCTTTTCTTTATTTTCTACTTAAGAACAATGTGCATTACTTTGGATTTCAGCTGGGCTAATTGTGAATTTAAATGGAAACAAAAGGGTAAAGGCATGTATTACATTTTACTGGTATTTTGACATGGCATTAAATATAAAATAGATGTGTTAGCAAACAAACAGAGGTTGAAGGCTTAAGTGATCTTTTTGTTTTGCACCAGGCAAAATAATGTATTTTTTTTTAAATTATTATCTTTTCTTTATCTGCTGAGCAGAAGGTGCTCAGATTCCTAGAGGGGGGCTGGAGTACAGCTGTGAGATGCACTTGACAGCGGTGGAGCTGTGTGTGCTCTTAATAAGGCAGGGACAGCCTTCCCTCCCCGTCTTAGCTCATCCTGCTCAGCGGCTCTTGAGAAGCAGGATTGTATCAGTGGAGGGGGGTTAGCGCGCGATGTCATTCTGTGCTTAGGAGAGGAGCGGTACAGTTGACTCTCAGTCGATACTATCCTGAGACAAGCCAGCCAGCGTGGAATGTGCAAGGAGAGACCAGAGTGCGAGGCAGGATAGCAGGCAGACAGGCAGGCAGTTCAAGGCAAGCAGGCAGGCTGTTTCTCTTTACCGGAGCACTTTGGTGACACACATGCACACCTGACTGGGGTCTGTCTGTCAGTTTCTGAGAGCTGTGCAAGCCAGGATCTGTGGCTGGTAGGAGAGGGTTGATGTTTGGAGAGGTGTGTTTTGGTGTGGGGTGGGGGGGTTGCTGGATTGGAGGGGTAGGGACCATGTAGGGGGTAGCTGCTTCAGAGAAAAGTTGTTGTGGTGATGGTGGGGGGTGGGGGGCGGACAAAAAATGACATATCCCTCCTTCTTCATCTCCTCCTTCTCCTCCTCCTCATCTTTCAATCCTCCACCTTTTCCTTCTCTCCCCCCTCCTTCTCATACCCACCCCACCCTCCCATTTCTTACCTTCAGTGCTCCACTCATCCTACCCTCTTCCACTATATACCCCTAAGGAAATATACAGAGCTGCCTGCTCCTGAACTAATACGGCACACTCCTTGCTACTTTGCAGCCAAGAGGCTCTCTCTCTCTCTCTCCAAAAAAAAAATCCAACCCAAATCCACCTTCACTTTTCAGTCAGAAGAGGCAGAAGTGGATGTGAGAGACAGAGACACGCCGAGAGACAGAGAGCGAGAGAGGGCAAGAGACTCCACGTTAAGAGACACGGGCAGTGGTAACTCCATGCAGTTCGGCACCAGATCTGCTAGTGCTGAGCCTGGCTACATGGGGACATGGCAGAACAGTGACAGCAACCTCCTTTTCAGAATGTCCCAACAGGTAAGTGGACTGGACCTCGGTGTGCTTGTGAAGTGTTGTTCTTGCTCGCCATTATCATTATTCAGAATTGTCATGATTGAGTCTTACTGGTGGTGGTGCTTCTTCATGATGTTGTAATTGTTCTTATACCGGCATGCTCTTTTCTGTCTTCCAACTTTTGTTTTATTGTGTGTTTGGCTTCACTTTTTTTGTCAGGACAATAATTCTTCCAATGTCAGTCTATATTACCTCCTCTGCTCCTTAAGCAAAGCATCTCCTTCCCCCAAATTTGTCTGAGGTTAAGCATGCAATGATCTGATCTGACAAAAGTATTTTAAATTAATTAGGGCATTTGTTGTAGACGTTGCATGGGAGAGCAACACCGTCATCACGGGTTTTTGCAAACAATTGAAAAACTATTTCTTCTTTTAAACTGGTGGGCAAAAGCTCTGTACGACTCTGGACTGATATCCCCGAGTTTGAAAGGGGCCCCCTTTGGGTTCGGCTAATTGACTTCATGTGGTAGAGGCTGCAGAGAGGAGGGCGGCCGTGAAGGAATCGTCTGTAAAAGTGATAACCGGTACTTGAAGGGTTTTAACAGTTGTCAGGACAGTCGCTCTATTCATTTCTGTGCTTAGCTGTTTATGTGTGTTATGCGTGTGTATTATCGGTTTCTTCTCTAGACTTGCTTATGAGGCAAGGGAAGTTGGGGGAGTGGGGACTTCAGCATCCTGGTATGCGTGCTCTTTACACTGCCGGGAAGACAGAGACAGGGAGCAAGCAGGAACGGCGTAGCAGGGCCAGTAATAACTGATAATTAATCACAGGAGTCGGTGTCTCTGTACCAAGCACTCGGTGATACGTGCCCAGCCCGCTGCGGCTCCCCTTGCACAATTACTTGGCTCGGCCGAGTTTGAAAAGAAACTTTTTTTTTCTCTCTCTCTTTTTCCCTGAGTTGAAAACTTGGACTTCGCTCAAACCAGGGGAGGGATTTTTAAAAACGAAGATTTGAACAGCGGTGCCTCCCTTGTAAAAAGAGGTGGGGGGTGTAGGGTGAACAATTTAGAAGATACCTTTATTTTTACGGGAATTTAAATGGATGTACTGATGTTAACGTTAAAATCATAATCAAAGAAAAGTGCACTTTGTAATGTTCACGATTTCGACTTTTTAAAGATATTAATCAAACATCCGAACACAGCTTGGTCTTCAGAGGGATTTAGAGGAATGAGCTCAAATGTATTCTTTTCCTCCGTTCCGCGATTTTGTGAAAAAAGAGCAACACAATTTAAGCGTTTCTTTTCGAGAAATACACAATGTACAAAAAGACATCCACTATCGGGAATTGAAAGTTCTTGTTATATAATGCGGTATTTTGCTAAGCGCTGTCATAAAGCAATAATGTTGTTTGGCTCCTTTATTAGAAGGTACTTTATAAAATCAGTTGGATGCTGGCATCTGTATAGGGACCCTTGATTGCATCTCTGATGTTGTACGACGGTGTTACAGTATAATCAGCCAAGGGACTCTCTTATTTATCCTTCCTCTGCATCTTTTATTAAAAGCTATCTTACTTGTTTAGTAGGTTTGACATAACGTCTCGAAAGAAGCACTTGACAAACTGCTTTATTGGAGGCTAACCGATAATGACTTATGTTTGCACTACTACGCAAGTATCTTGGGCTTTGAAAGACGTGAATGAGGTCTTGTGTTTAAATATATGTATACAAATTCCATATGCTGTACCTTTTTCAAAAAAGTATTCCATCAAGTTTGGTTGTATTTTACGTTCTTTTAAAAAAAAAGACTGCCATGTTACCTACTATGTTACTATTACCATGTAACCTTTCTCTGCCAATTGAATTTCTAAGCACTGTCTCCTACTGTAAATTTCCTGTTTCTCGATGTGTGTTTTTTAGTAAATATTCATCCATTATAGAATGAAATAACTGAAAGCGGTTGCTAAAATAACATTTTGCAGCGTTTGTATGTATATATCATTTTACCGATGTAGGTATTTGCGCTGATGGGGAAAGGGTTAACATTATCAGAAGACAATAACGAGATCAACTGATAAATGGTTATTGAACCACATAGATGGTGTTAGATTGCTTTTTGGCATTAAATTGCCTGCAACTATATTTAGAACTCCGTAACTCCATTAGTCCTTAACATACTTGACAGAAGCAAATACTCCAGGTGCTGAGCAAAGTGCAGAAAAGTTTTTAGCGCATCTTACTGTATCTTAAAATCTGATGCATGCAGTGCAATGCGCCTTCGGAATCTTCTTGACGTTGTGAGATTGTAGTGAATCGTATTAAAATGAAGATTCTGTATCTGTTATTTTAAACTTTATTATTTGTACCTGTTTTGTTGCTTCTTTGTTTTACAATAATCAATTTAAAACGACGTGACACGTTACAGATTTATAACCTTCTCTGTTACTACCTGACTATTATGCGTTGTTGGAGAAAAAAGGAAATGAAACACATTTCAATTTAAAACAATAATATATTTTTCTTTGGGATTTTCTATACTACACCGAAACACAATTTCACTTTAAAATCATTTCAAATATAATGGTGCTATGGATACCTGCTCATAAAACCGACCGCACTGATTTCAATTTTTTGTTAGTTTCAGTTTGTGCAATATTAAATTATACACATTGTTTACAGGCCTACTGCATCTTCATCAATCCTTTTTAAATGTATTGACTTAATATAAATGATCCTTTAAAAATCCATTAGTGTTTTTGTTCTAATTATCTACAGCATGGTCGTCACAATTTATGTCTTTTGTCTTAACACAAAATTAGTGACAGTTCCTCTTATTTGTTACGTTTAATGACAATGGCTTACTAGGTGTTAAAAGATCATTTTTACTGTAGCAAGGCAAGTTATAAAATAAATAACGACCAATGTATGGATTTGTTCATTTATACCAGAAGAAAAGGCAAAAATGATAACGCTGACTTCACCTATTCAATGCATTTTTAGTATTGTTTCTGGAATTTAGCGCAACAGGCTACGTTTATGATTAACTTTTGGTTACTTTCTACTTAACCAATTAAATATTTATTAAGAACCAATCAGTATTTCGATGCTGGTGATTATAATGATTATAAGTGGCACTTGAAATGTTGGTTATTGGAGAGAGAAGACAATTTAAGACAAAAACATGCACCTCAAAAAGCTCGTCTAAATAATAAATTAATCAGACTGTTTCATAAATGTATTGTAACCACGTATTTAAAACACCAATTCAATTACTTTAAATGAAACTTGTAGCAGTTCAGAAATAGCACGCAAAAGCACGCAGTTTTTCATGGGGACTCTGTCCAAAGATGCGACATCTGTTATTTTGCCTGAAAGCGCCAAGCTTTGATATTTTATTTAATTGCGCTTCAGAACGGGGAGTGACTGTGGGGCAACGGTTTGCTTGGTTTATGAGAATGTGCCCAGCACTTTCCGAGAGGGTCATTGTATTGACACGGAAGACAAAAAGCAGCCGATAACCCTTTAAGTGTCAGTACTCTGTCAGACTCTTCAGCTTTGCCTATGTTTTTTTTTTTCTTTTGAAAGGGTGCTGTCGCTCTGCTTCCTTTGAAGTGTGACAGGTCGACAATGGCCAGAGACCTGGACGAGGTACAGTTGCCAAACTCGCGCTTTTTAAAGTTGGGGTAAAGACTGATGTGGTCTGTTTTAAATCTCCTAAACTCTCAGCAAAGCACGAGGTATTTTTACATAAGAAGCCCCTAATACTTCTAAAGTCATTAAAAACGAGGTGGTAATGGCACATAAAATTGTAATAACCGCTAGTTACGCGTGAAGAGCAATATCAGCTGGCAGAAGACAACAGGAACTATAGTGTTTTACGCAATTATAAGAAACAACATTGCAAGACGTACTGTAGCAGTATGTCATTTGATATTTGTATATCATTCGATGTTTGCATTTTTATCAAAATCTGCCATTAATATACTATTCTATCATTTCTAAAGAAACCAAATATTTTTCTACAGTGTCTTTGATTTTGATTTATTTATTATATTGGAGCGGAGATTATGCGACTCGTGAAGCTCATCCCAATTATCTCCGTGTTGTACATACAGTAGTAAAAAGGGGATTTTTATTGACCTTTTTTATTACTTGGTTTTATTTGTAAAGAAAGTAAAGTATACAAGCCTAGTCGTGTAATAAACAATCATACATTAAACAACAGTCCTAATATCAGCTGACAGCGCGTTATTCGTTCGTAGTTTCTTTTGTCATGCGCTAAATTCGTATTATTCATAAATAATAATTTTAGAAAATAAAAAAAATAATTTAAATGTGCTTCTACATTAACAGTAATCCATTTTATGTCGCTGCATTTTTTTAAGTGCTACGATGTGTTGCGGGTTTTCTTTATAACCAATGGAGACGTTTTCCAATCTATATCAATGTTTCTTAATAAGTGGAATACGATATAATTCTAATAATGAAGAACGGACTCTACCTTTTTTTCTTTTTTAAAGTGAGTAGAATCATTTGGATAACTGGACACTCGAAATAATTCTGCCTTTAAGAAAATAGTTGGTATTGAATTCCTTTAATAAGGATTGACATTTTGATGGGTGTTTTCTAAATAACAACGAAGAAAATTTCTCATGGAGAGTGCTTCCTTAAAAATCATCGTAACTGTAAAACAACAGTTTTTTCGTATGTCATAAAATATTTGTAAAATAGTCTTTGTTACAAACGGAATTATATAAACACTTCGAAGTATTTTATTTTAAAAAACTCAGAAACAGTACAGAATTGAAAAAAGAAAGCTTTTAAAGGAAATCATTTCTAAGGTAACGCGGGTCAATTAATTATGTTAAGCCATGTACAGTATAGTACCTCATCTGACCAGAAGCAAATTCTTGCAGCACAGGAGGTTTTGTTAGAATATAACAGACCGTTAGCTGGATATGTATTACTATAAATGTGCTTTTGGTTATTTGATTCAACCCCATTATCAATCTCTAGTGGTGTGTTTCTAAGAAAGCCTGTTTGATTGTTAATCTAAAGAAATCAGTGTACTGGGTCTGCAGCTGTAGGGCGCACCTGCTGATGATTCTAAGAGTACTCCTCCTCTGTAACTTAGTAATGTATTGCATCTTACAGCCACAGTGTTCTCAAACTATTCATTAACAAATCAGAGTACAATACATTAAAAAAAAAACTTCTATGCCAGAATGTAGAATCGAAGTAAAAGGTCATTAGGTATCAGTTGTACAGTAAATCGTTTTCATAATTTTGCTGCCATGTGCTTGAACATCAAGCAGTTTACGACTTTATGATTTTGTAACCATTTGTACAATGAGCTGGTTAGTACATGCAGTATAAATGTATAGCTTTAAAAGGGGAAGATTGCAGGAAACAAATCTTTTGGAACCACCAACATTCCACAATGTTGTGGTTTGTGCCAGTAACTGGACTTTGAATTCACTCTTGGCCTAATTCATTTATCAGTTTTGCAACAGAATCTAAGTTCCCAACAAATTGCTTCTTATCCTTAACATAAAAATGCCTTCTTTTAAATTTAACACAGTAAGCAGTCAGGCCACATAAAGGTTCTTCTTTTTTTGTGCAAGGAGTAAAGGGATTGTAGCGATACATATAAATACAGTATGGTGGACCATGATAAACTGGGATTTTGAAATTTGTTATGTGGATCCCATGAGTACAGTGCTGCTCTCTTAATTTTAATTTTAATATTTATCTCCTTGGCGTATTAAAAACAAATTGTCTTTTGTATCAACATACAAGCCACCGATGTAATATGGCTAAATAAATAATATTGTAAAATATAAAATGATAAATGTCCTGGTTGATCATGGCTCTCATAAATAAGGAGCATCTTCCTGCACTGCATCCCTTCGAAGACGGGCACGATTTTTTAACATGCCCTTAATGTACTGAAAATTTTGTGTGTGTGCCTTTTTTATATACTTAAGGTGCATACAGTATATATAAAACAAATATTCATTATTGATCTCTCTGAAAAAAGATACAAACTCTGTAGGCTGGTCTTCCTTTGGTCAATAATTCAGTGTGCTGCTCCCTTCTTTGCAAAGACCGTTATCCAAAACTCAATCCTCTAAAATACTTTTTAATTTTTTCAACATTTTTTTAATATAGTGTAGAGATTTCTACATCTATGAATTTGAAAGGGGAAATAGATCTTTTTTAGAATATATATATCAAAATAGTAAAGGACAAATTGTGAAAGAGAAAAGTCACAATCTGTCTTTTTAAATTGCTTTTATAGTATTACCATATAAAAATATGATGATAAAACTGTTATTAGCTCATATTTAGGAGTGTATTTAGAGATGTGCTGGAATTTGTAACATGCCTTTTTCAAACAGGACTGACATTGTAAAAGGTGGATGTGATGGAGAAGAATGCCAGTCCTTGCACAGTGCATGCAGAAGCCTGTTTGTGTAGCATTTTTCTTTACACGGTGCTCTACGCTGCATCTGCACTGTGGTGTGGTGTGAAGTGAAGAGTCTCTTAACCGGCCTGCGTCGGAAGCACAAAGAAGGCAGTCGAGTAGATACCTTGTAAAAGAGAATATCTGGAGGAGACGCCCGCTCTGTGCCACCGTGATCCTGGTGTGCGTGTGTTTGAAGGAAGGGGGATGTTTGAGCCAGGGCAAAGCCTCAGTGACTAATTAGATGCTGAGTAAGACATCTGCTAACGGGGCAGCAGCCAGAGGAAGAGGGACTTTGATAGTGGCCCAGGGCAGAAGCATGAAGGGGCTCTGTGAAAGCAGAAATTAGCCCATCACCAGGTCGCTGTGACACACACAGGAATAGCACGGGGGTGGGATGTCTGGGGGAACTGGCTGTGCACTGATAACGACTTGTAGTGGAGTCATAATTTTTCACTTTTGCTACTTACAACTCACCAAGTAAGTAGAGTTCGAGCTACTTCTTTTATTTTTGTTTCTGCTCATTTTATTAGAAATGGTGGTGGTGGGGGGGGGGCTCCAGCAGGGGAACAACAATAGATATTGTACTAAAGTTATTTTCCGATAAACATCAACAGCCATTTTGACAGTGTCGTTACCACACACACCTTCATCTCCATCCCATTCTGGTTTTTCCAATTATACCATCACTCTCTTTGTTGAGAATTTAGGCACAGAACAAGCTGAAAGTTCACAGTCTTCTTGGAAAGACTTATGAGGTGCTAATTATTGCTTCTGCTAATTAATAGGCTGTGCTAATCAGCGTAATCTCGCCTCGTTCAGTGATGCTTATTTACCTAATTCCACTGCCCGTGTTGCACCCAATTCTAATATGTTTGGAGTAATGATATTTAAATAAATATCTTCTTTGAGCAGCTGCAGTTAACAAGGTCAATCGCATCAGCCATCCACAGTGTTTACTTCACAGCTTGCTACAGTAAAGCTAGCTGTTGTCACTAAGCTTTGCATAGAGGGACTTTTGTTATTTCGGCTGAAGAGAGCATAACCCTTAAAAAAAAAACAGCTCACAAGCTAACAGTTCCCTGTAGACTTAAAAAAATGTTTTCTGGTGGCAATGCATGACCTGATTTATATCCTTGCTCTGTCAGCAAGAGGTTCTGAAAAGTTGGAGACCTCTCTGGGCATCTTGTGCTTTTTTTTTGTACATACACCTTGCAGAAGGGACTTGTACTTGGCTAAATAAGGCACTATTCATTCAGAAGCCACCCAGGCCACCTTAAAACAGGGGGGGTTTGTCTGGAATGCAAATTGGGTGCTTTGAAGCATTTTAGTTTAGTTTAGTTTTTGCCATTAAACGCAGCATTTTATGTTTTAGTTTATGCCGTTCATTGTACATAGATCTTTTAATATATCATTTTTTAAAATGTTACAGTAGAAAAAATCTTATTTTGTTGCAATTTTATGCCGATCTTATGCCAGCAGTTGTCTTTTCTTTATCATCATTCAACAGAATGTGGAGCTGACTCTTCTGGTTTGCGATTTCAAAATGTCAAATTAATGCAGATATTAAAAGTAATCTAGAAAAAATCATCCCAGCTTTTATTTTGTTCCAAAATTGTTTTGTGTTTATTTAGAACCACACAGGTACTGCCTTGTTTTAAAAAGGAACTCTCACCACCATTCAATGCATTCATCTTTAGACAATAGTAAAAGTACAGTAGAAATTTACCGTTCTTCATTAGGTTTATTGACAATTAAATTTATGTAAATTAGCATATTTTTTCCTGCATTTTAATTTTGTGTTTTTATATCATACATAGAATTTGAACTCTTTACTGTATGATAAATGTAATATTTTGCCCTAAGAGCAGTGGCTAAGGTTATAGCCTTGTTAAGGAAAGGCTGTGGTTTAAATCCCAGGTGAGATACTGTTCTTATAGCCTTCAAAGAGATATTTCAGCTAAGTTGCTCCGCTAAGATACCCAGCTGTACAAGTGGGTACAAATTCTTCCTTGCCAGAAAACAAGGACAGATCAGTGTAAAAGATAATGTTGCAATCATTCATTAGAGTCCCTTATTATAAGATTGCAGTTGAAGATTAAAAAAATGAAACAGCTAACATTCTCATTCTTATGCTTTGTAATATTTTGTCATTTTGCATGATGCGCAGACTGTTATTTTG